ATTCCCCCCGGACGCTATTTTTAGCACACAAAAGGAGGACATGTCCGGGGAAATCCGGACGTATGGTAACCCTAAATTACAGAAGCATAGAATTCATGTAGCAGAGCAGCCACTCAGGCCCTTTGGCTTTTATCATGTAACTCGCTGGAGACCCTGATTACTCACTACTTTTCCCTGTCATTTATGTCGATGCAAAATGGAAGTAAAATGCTCTCTCCCTTTACTGTGAGATAAACAACTGCAGACCATTCAAGGCAAAGGAGAAGGAGGCTCACAGCCCTTTATTTTCATTTAACCAATATGCAGAGTCTTATGCAGAGGGAAGAGGTTGGAGATAGGATCACAAACCTGCCTAAGTAGCTTGGCACATCTGGGCCTCTATGTTCTTGTTTTGTATAGAACTGAGCACATGTTCAGCTCTCTGTTAGCAATAAATAAATCCTTTACGTGCATCCCTCCCTCTTGCTACCTAATCACTTTTATTGCCCTTTTCTGCAATAGAATGCAACTTAAATTGAACTTTCTAGTGGACCCATTCTAAGATAACAGCAGAAGCCGCAGGCAGTAGAAGGACTAACTTCTCCCCCACCCTCCCCGCCACAATTCCCAAACCACCTTGGGCAAAAGAAGCAATAAACACACCCAGATCAATTTTATTTGGAATACATATGAAACATGACCCTATCAAAAGTTACAGGGTTTCTTCCCCCCCCCCACCCTTTTCTTTAAAAAAAACTAAAATAAAGGAAAACAAAACAAAAACCTAGAAACCAAAAGAAGAGGCATATCAGAGGAAAAGCATGCAAGCAATCTGCAAATAATTCCTAGATTTACCCACAGTGCTGCTGTGTTTTCAATTAAGTACCAAACGACTTCACTAGACCAGGAGTTTGACTTCATTGTAAGAGGTGGTTATAATCCACCAACATTAATAAAGGAAACAATTGGATCACAGAAAAACTTCACCAGAAGTTGAATTTCAATATACAGCATAAGAGTCCACTGGAAAAGGGTTCTACCCAATGTTATCAGGAAAACATCAGTTCTCTTGGACACATTTAATAATATAAAAGGGTTTAACGACACCTATTTGCTCACATCATAAGGCCTAGTCTGTTAAAGGAAAAAAAATCCCTTGATTAAGTTAAAAAAAAATAGTGTATACAGAGCCATATTATGTGATTGTAGGCAGCGTTAGTTAGTGTGCACACTAGTTTAGAAAATACGTACAATTGTGCTATGCAGGTAATTGGGCCAATCATGTAATACATATATCTGAAATGTTCATGGGGCCTGCATCGGAAACCCACAAGTAGCTGCTGTATCCTTACCACAGGCCCCGGCCAGGAAGAATATTTTAACAGTAATATCCTCAGAAAACGATACTATTGCTGCAATACTTTTGAAAAGTATTTTTTTCTTCAGTGTTTCTTAATGTTGGTATCAATGCAGGGGAATTGGATGAAAGCCTCTGGCCTGTGTTGTACAGGTCAGACTAGTTTATCTAATGAGCCCTTCTGGCTTTAGATTTATTAAGCCCATGTGTAACACTGCAATAGGAGAGTTCGCTAAGTGCAAGAGTCTCCTCTCAGGTCTCCACTGCATGTTTCCCCTCCAATATTCTGTGCAGGCACGTAAATCTGTGTGGAAAAACGGTATGGGCAACTAGGAGATCTCAGCAGTCGGTGGTTAGGCCTCAATCCTGCTAACATTTATGTGCAATCTTAATTTTCAGCCCCCGGGTACTCACGCTGAAGCCTCCTTGCTTAAAGTTAAGCACATATGTGTTTGCAGGATCTGGCACCTCGGGTGCTAGCAAGAGACGTGCAATGATAAAGAGATTACAGTAAATTTAGGTTCAGGTAGGTTATCTTAGTCAAGATCAGTTGGGTGGAGCTAGGAGGAATTTTGCCTTTCGTGTCTAGGACATACTAGGACACTCAAAAATATCACACAGAAGGTTTAACGAAGTTTAGTTTGTTATTTAAAGCCAACTCCCTTTTAAGTTTGCGAAAGAGAACAACAGAAAATATTAGACTTTGACTGGTTTTTAATCTGCAAAGTAGGCTGTAGGGATAAGCAAGAGATCAGGTCAAACTTCATGTTAGAATATAGCACTAAACACAGCACTACAGAAAGGAATGAGGTTTGTCATGTATTGTGAAATCTTACACTCTCAGTAAGTACGAGTGTCTCTTTTTACCCTAAAAAGATAAATGGAGATGAATGTCACATTCCACACTTCTAAAACACAATATGGTCGGATATGATCTGATTTAACTTCCTAGGACATTACTATAAGTGCAAGTAGAAGCACAGGGCCTGGTTCTAATCTCATACCAGTGGAACTGAATTGACTTTACTGGAGTTCCTCTTGGTTTACACCAGTGTAAGTAGGCTTAGAAACATACTCTTTGGGTTTGTCTATTTGATCATTTAATTCACAGCAAACTGGGGGTGGGAATCTACCCCACACTGATGCACACTAACAACTCCTTAATGCCCTTTGACCTACTCCTGTTCCAAAGCCAGGTAGATCAAAGTGTACAAAGGAACTGTTACTGCACATCAGCAGGGTCCATGTGGACAGGCTAACACGAGATAGATTCACGCTTCAGCTTGCCACAAACTAAATGTTCGTGTAGACAAGCCCTTTTAAAGACTGTATTTAGAAAATGCAAAAACAACCCAGCCTTACAGGTTAGTATTTTTAACCTGATGTCATCTTTATCCCTTCATTTATTTCTTCTTGAAAGCAAGACATAGTTATATCCCGAGATGAAATCGAGTGCAAAGGTTAACACAAATGCTACCACTGCTCCTGGCAAGAATCCTCTGCTTATATTTTATTTGCTAAACACGTTTAATCCTTTCCTTTGGGCCAAATCTTGATACACTTGGAAATGATCCACTGGAGTCTATGAAATGTGTTTCTGTGACTTTAAGGATTCTAGCTCAAGTCCCAGACTGGGCTCTGGTAAATGTAACACAATTCAAATGAATGCACTTTCAGTGTATTTATAGCAGGCCAATTCCTCCCAGAGTGGGTCAGGGTTGTACTGGAGTGGGCCCAGAAAGTATTTTCTCCTAGACGTCACACAAGTGGCTATTCTCAATAGGAATTCCACCTGAGTTATGACTGCTGGATTTGATCCTTTGAAGGGTAGTTCCACTCGGAAAAGGGACTAAAAAGAGGACGGGGCGTTCCCGGGTTTATTGGCGCTCAGTATTTTCTGTACTGAAGTTGTTTAGTTTACAAGCAAAAAGATGTTGGTCTCTGATTGTTAGCCCTGCAAACTCAACCTGGGCTCTGAAAACCAAATTCTCACAAATCATCACCAGTGATAAAGGCTCTGCAGGCTAAATAAGGCCCTCAACTACATCGGCGCAATGCAGATTCTTGGGAGTATGTGCTCAGTTACACATGGGCACCCTCAGGCATCCAGTGGGATGGCACCGGTGTAACTAATTGGAAGTTATTAAACATTTCTATAGGTCTTCTGCCAGAAGCTCATAGTTGAGGTGGTTCTTCAGTTCAAACAGCAATAAAAAACACCACTTTAATTGGAAACAATCAAAATAAGTGGGAAAATGTCTGCAAAAACAACCATTCATAAATACCTCAGGAGAAAAGGTTTTGTTTGTTTGAAGATGTTGGGTAGTGGACACTGGCACTCAAAGAATGTCCCAGGAGTATGAGCCAAAAACAAATGGGGGACATTTTCAGCATGATGCACAGGGACTTGTCTGCAAGTGGTATTGCATGGCTAAAGTGTCCATGCATTAGGCTCAGAAGCAACCCTTAAACATATATCCTAGTAAGTTATTGCGCTTAAAGCATCATTAAGAGAAGATTTTCAAATCTCTTGCTTGGAGAAGACAACACCCTTTTGTACGCTCTCTGTGGCTATAAGACAGTAACCAAACCCAGTGAGCTAACGTGCTGAATGCAACAAGGACCCAGTCATCACCCAGTGAAGTCAATGACAAAACTCCCAGTGACTTCAAAGGGAGCAAGATTGGGACCCAAGGCCCAGATGGAAGTTCAGTGCCCAAATATCTTGAGGTTCTGGGCCTAAGTTCCCATTTTTTCCATTTTAACTTTAGGGCAGAAAACTCTTCTGTGTATTGAAATATTTCTAAGTAGTTTCTCTACAAGTGTAGATGTGTAGTTGTTAGCTGATAACATTTTCCCCGCCACACACAGGTCAGTCTAACATTTAGATCATCAACTATATTTTACAATCTTATCCTTGGCAACAACAACAACAAAAGCCCTCCAGAAAGTGTCAGAAGGGGAAGAGGAGCCAGGCTTAAGGTGGCAAGTTCAGAGTCCAGGTGCATGTGGAGACATTGCAGACCTGCCCATTCACGATTTCTTGGACCCAAACCTATTACAGAAGTGAAGTTCTCAAGTGGGACTTGTTCCAAACAGAACCCACTGCCATGACTCGACTTCCTCACTCACTCGATGGCTTCCATAACATCCTGTCCCCCTTCTTTGTCTCAGAACAGAGCTTTCCTAGAAAACCACAGGCCATGATGTTGGTGGTCACACTTCTCATAAATATCTTGCCCTGACTCTTTCCTCCAACTCACTCCTTCTCTCCTTTCTACTCTAGTAGAAAACCACATTCGTCTACCGGGTTTTAGGAGAGCGTGCATCACTTTGTGGTTGCATAAAGCTGCTACCGTATTTTGCCACAATGCGTTAATATGCACCTTTGAAACAATAAATAAAGGGAAAACGTACTGGATTTAAATATAGGTTTCCATTAAAAGCATTTAAAAGACCTTGCTTTAGTTTTGAATACATCAAAATGAAAATTCACCCCCTACTACAAAAAAAATCATCCCTTGCAAGTAATGTTAATGGGGAGTGTGTGTAGGGAGAGTTAGAGAACTAGCAAGTGTTCAGAAGGGCAGAGACCCTCTACCCCAGTCACTTTGCAATGGCACCTGCTTCTCACAGAGTCAGGTAAAAGAGCTGCAGAGTTGTTACGTGGAGGATTTCACCACCTGCTCATATGGGGGTGGTGGTGCATTGCAGTAAGAGGGCGGAGGTGGGTACACTGGATTCCCTTGCGGGGAGTTGGGCTGGACATGGAAAGCCATAGCCATGGGGTTCATCACAGGTCCTCCTGGATCCGTGTAGTATGGCATCCCTGGTTGCTGTGATCCTAAAAGAAATGGAGAGAACATACATTAATTTACAATGCAACGGTAAATTTATAACAAACAGATAGGCTAGTATCATGCTGCTCCAGTGCTGAGGAAAGCACAAATATGCTCTTCTCTAAAGGCAAATAATACATAGTAGGTTTTAATTGGAGTATGTGACACATGGCCAAGACAATGCACAAAGGTTGTTTCCATCTCATGGCTGCCCAGTCACATGAGGTTGGTGATCTCAGTCCAGTGGACAGCTGTTGACACCATAACAAATCACCATCACACTTACTAGCACCCTTGCTGGGAGTCTCAGAAGACAGCTGAAGGACTGAATGGACCCAGAGATCGAACTACCTTTCACCCCCTAAAGGTGCTTTCTCCAGATCACGAGCACTGGGGATGCTTGCCCCCTCACTGCTTCTTCTGTGCATAGAAGAGTTCAGTTTCCAGGGCTGTTGAACCTGCACCAGTTAGGAGCACTAAATTCACTTTGTAGAGAAAATACACCATAGGATCTCAACCTACACTCATAGCCTTTAACCGACATGCATGTACTCTATATTCAGTTGCCTGCAGATACCGTTTGAATACAGTAAGGACATATCCCCAGGGATAAATCCACAAGATCCCCAAGGAAAATGAGATGGAAACCCTAGAACACACATCAATGTACTTAGCTGTGTCAGCCAAGAAACAGCATTCAGATCAGGAAACATTAAGGGCCCAGTTAATTCCAACATGCTTGCCAATAAGGCTGTTCTGTGGTTCTTCACTAACCTAATGGCAACATCTTTGACATTAGCAATTAGCGTAGGCCAGAGAGAACAGAGAACAAACATGGTTGCTCTAAGCACCAGGGAAACTTTGATGCCATTGACATTCTGTCAGTTCATTTAGGCACAAAACTTCAACTAGCTCAAAGGGAAAAAAAGTAAACACAGAACCAAAGTCATATCAAAGAACATATTAATAAATCACTACATCTAATGACAAAGGAGAGTAAGTCACTAAAAGCAGCGTTTTGAATATGATGAAAAAGAATCATTAATCAAACACCAAGCTACTGCCTGGGAAATATGATGATTAGTATTATATCAGTATTATATTACAGTAGTGTCTAGAGGTCTCAGCTGAGATGTTAGGTGCTGTAAAAAAGACTGGGTAACATACAGTCCCATAGGTGCTGGAACCAAGGGTTTGGGAGGTGCTCCAAGTGGTTTCCATTATATGCAGGGTTTACAGTTTGGTTCAATGGTTCTCAGCACCCCCCACTGTACACATTGCTCCAGCACCCCTGCACAGTCCGTGCCTCAAAGTGTTTAAATCTAAACAGATGATGGCTTGGAGGTGGAAGGCAGAGGCACAGAGATGGGAAGGGATCTGTCTGAGCTCACTCAGCAAGCCAGTTGCAGAGGTAGGAACAGGGGCTTCCACGTCCCAATCCAGTGCCCCACCCACAACGCCTCTCCACTGCAGTAAGTAGAACTGGTCGGAAAAATTCCAATGACACATTTTTTTCTGTTGAAATTTGCAGATTCAGTAAAATCAAATCGCTTTGCAGAGCTGGTTTGATTTCATCAAAGTCCTGTTGGAAACCTATTTGGATACCTACCGGTGTGTCCACCTGGTGCTGCAGCAGTCCACATGCCTCACAGCTGTGGGACCCCAGGGCTTCCAGGGTCTGTGGCTCCCAGGCAGTCTGCCAGACAGACATGTATCCATGTACATGTACCTTTGTCTCCTTGTTCTTTGTATTCCCGCATTGATCTGTCTATATCCATCTGTTGTCTCTTGTCGCATACTTAGATTGTAAACATGTTAGGGCAGGGACTGTCTTTTTGTTATGTTTGTACAGTGCCTAGTACAATGGGATACTGGAGTTCCTTGGCACTACAGTAACAAACAACAATACACAGGGTGGAGAGCTGGGGGTTGTGAGTTTTCTGGGTGGCAAATGGAAAGATGGGATTAGATAGAATCCTTGCTTAGAATCAGTACTAAGGCTAGCTCCGTCTTTCCATTTACTTCACTGCCACAAGCCCTTCCTCCCCTCCCCTGGCACAATGCCCTCTAGCAAACCTTAATTCTTAATGACAGGTTTCAGGGTAGCAGCCGTGTTAGTCTGTATCCTCAAAAAGAACAGGAGTACTTGTGGCACCTTAGAGACTAACAAATTTATTACAGCATAAGCTTTCGTGGGCTACAACCC